GAAGGAAGGAAAATAGAAGAAAGGAAGGAAGGAAGGAAGGAAGAAAGTAGGAGAGAAAGACCGGCGTAACGGGTGTGTGTGGGCGCCTGTGATTTCTGGCTGGGGCTCCACACCGCCCTGGCAGCACACACCTCCCGGGGGACCTCTGGGTTTGGTCCCTGGACGTGGCTGCCGCGGGGCCGGCCGGTTCGGTTTCACCGATGCCTCATCTGCCTGATGCCTCTCTCTTCACACGGGTTTCCCTCCTTCTTCCCCTCCTACAGAGCGAGCGGGGTTGTGCCTGCGGGGGCACCTCGCAGCGCCCGGGCAGGACGAAACGGCCGCATCCTCCCGCACGGGAACTGTTAAAAATTCAAGGGAAAAAGATTAGGCACGAACGCCGGGCCCCGCTCCTCCCTCCCCTCCGCGCCCCCACCCCCGCTACAGTCCTTCAGGCCAGCAGAGATGATTTCACGGTTTTCCAGTGGAAATAGCTAAAAATGCTCCTGCTAATTACAGAGCTCTTCCAGGCCAGGTGCACTTTTAATTGGATTAGTAAGTGCTCTATATTAAACCTGCAGCACATCAAATGGACAGTGAAAATTAGAGCTATTAAGAACACAGGCAATCATTCCTGACCGATAACATTACTGCTTTCCTCTCTATTAGAAATAAATCAATTATCCCCTTTCCGGGTATGCGCGCATACATTAATTTCTCCTAAGGATTTCGGAGGGAATTCTCCGCTTGTTTCCAGGGGAGGTGAAGGGGCGAGGAGAGGGCAGCTTCGTAAATAGAAACGTGTCCTTGAGGGAAGGGAAGGGAAGGGAAGGGAAGGGAAGGGAAGAAATAGAGGAAGAAAGAAATAGAGGAAGGAAGGGAAGAAAGAAATAGAGGAAGGAAGGAAGGAAGGAAGGAAGGAAGGAAGGAAGGAAGGAAGGAAGAAAAAAAAAGAAACAAAGAGAGAAAGAAAGAAAGGAAGGAAGGAAGGAAGGAAGGAAAATAGAAGGAAGGAAGGAAAATAGAAGGAAGGAAGGAAGGAAAATAGAAGGAAGGAAGGAAGGAAAATAGAAGGAAGGAAGGAA